GGATGCCCTGGGGGGGGAGGGAGAGGGGCGGGGTGGGGGGAGCAGGCCCAGGGCCTGTCCCCTCCCTGGGGACAGCCACCCTCCCCCCGGGACACTGCTCCTGCTCTGTGCTGCCACCAAGAAGGACCCTGGAGCTGAAGATCCCTGGGGTCCCCAGGCAGGGCTGGGGATGTCCCAGGAGGTGACAGTGGCTCTAGGACCCAGCTGTCCCCAACCTGGTGGCCACGACACCCACCCCACAGCAGCAGCAGCACGTCCCCCTCCTCCAGAGCCCCGGGTGCCAGGGGAGGGGACACAGTGTCCCACAGGGGACATTTGCCACACCTGCCTTTCACAAGGAGGAAAGCCTGGTGTCCCTGTGTCCCCCCCCAACCCCGGGTGGGTGTCACCCTTGTCACCTTGCTCCCGCAGCGTCAGCCCAGCAGCCTGAGCACCCCGGAGCACACGGTGGAGCTGGCTGGGGCCACCCTGGCCTGGGCCACCAGGGACAAGTCCAGCAAGAAGCACGTCCTGGAGGTGAGCAGGGGGACAGCAGGGGGACCTCAGCCACCCCGCGGGGTCGGTGGGTGGGTGGCAATGCCAGCGCCCTCCTGGCTCAGCCCGCCAGCAGCGAAGGGGACACCTGGGGACAAAGCTGGGAGCAAAAGGACCACGCTGCTCCGTCACATCCCCACGGGTACAGACGTGTCACCAAGGGGGTGGTTTCCGGCCACCCCCCAGGATGAACCAGCAGCTCTCGGGGTGGGAAAACCTCATGGGTGTGATGAGTTGGGGCCCGTTCTCAGCCCGGCCCTGAGCTGCGCCCGCGGGCACTGGGGTACCACTGGGGTGGTACTGGGATGGCACTGGGATTGCACTGGGGTGGCACCGGGGTGGCACTGGGGTGGCACTGGGGTGGTACTGGGATGGAACCAGGGTAGCACTGGGATGGCACCGGGATGGCACTGGTATGACACTGGGATTGCACGGGGGTGGCACTGGGATGACACTGGGGTGGCACCGAGGTGGCACTGGGGTGGTACTGGGATGGCACTGGTATTGCACTGGGGTGGCACCAGGGTGGTACTGGGGTGGTACTGGGATGGAACCAGGATAGCACTGGGGTGGCACTGGGATTGCACTGGGATGGCACCAGAATGGCACTGGGGTGGCACTGGGGTGGCACTGGGGTGGTACTGGGATGGCACTGGGGTGGCACTGGGGTGGGTGGTACCAGGTTGGCACTGGGGTGGCACTGGGATGGAACCAGGATAGCACTGGGGTGGCACTGGGATTGCACTGGGATGGCACTGGGGTGGTACTGGGATGGAACCAGGGTAGCACTGGGATGGCACCGGGATGGCACTGGTATGACACTGGGATTGCACGGGGGTGGCACTGGGATGACACTGGGGTGGCACCGAGGTGGCACTGGGGTGGTACTGGGATGGCACTGGTATTGCACTGGGGTGGCACCAGGGTGGTACTGGGGTGGTACTGGGATGGAACCAGGATAGCACTGGAGTGGCACTGGGATTGCACTGGGATGGCACCAGGGTGGCACTGGGGTGGCACTGGGGTGGCGACACTGGGATGACACTGGGTTGGCACTGGGGTACCACTGGGGTGGTACTGTGGTGACACCGGGGTGGCACTGGGATGAGCTGTGCCCTGTCCCAGCAGGGCCCGGGCAGGGAGGTGACAGTGACCTGAGCAGGGTGAGGAACAAGCTGCGCAGGTTCCTGCAGCGGAGGCCGACGGCGCAGGCGCTGAGGGACAGGGGCTACATCCGGGGTGCGTGGGGACACGGGGGGTGCTGGGGTGGGGCTGAGCCCCCCCGGGGTGTCCCCAGGCCCGGTGGTGGCACAGGGGGTTGGAGCGGGGGAACATCCCCTGGTGTCACCCCCCTACGGGACAGGCCCCTCCAGGATGTCCCCAGCACTGTCCCCTGCCCAGCCCTGCCACCAGCTGTCCCATCGGTGTCACCAGCTGTCCCATCAGTGTCACTGGGTGTCCCATCAGTGTCACCAGCTGTCCCATCAGTGTCACTGGGTGTCCCATCAGTGTCACCAGCTGTCCCATCAGTGTCACTGGGTATCCCGTCAGTGTCACTGAGTGTCCCGTTGGTGTCACTGGGTGTCCTGTCAGTGTCACCAGGTGTTCTGTCGGTGTCACTGGGTGTCCTGTCAGTGTCACCAGCTGTCCTGTTGGTGTCAACAGATGTCCCATCAGTGCCACCAGGTGTCCCATCGGTGTCACTGACTGTCCCGTCAGTGCCACCGGGTGTCCCGTTGGTGTCACTGGGTGTCCTGTCAGTGTCCCCGGGTACCCCATCAGTGTCCCCGGGTGCCCCACCCGTGTCCCCAGCGCTGATGTCCCGTTGCTGTCCCCAGACCCGGTGTTCGGCTGCTCGCTGGCCGCGCTGTGCGAGCGGGAGCGGGGGACGGTGCCCCGCTTTGTCCTGCAGTGCATCCAGAGCGTGGAGAGGAGAGGTACCACCTGGGCACGGGGACACTGGGCACAACCGGGTGGCACCGGGGTGGGGACAGCCCTGGGTAAAGCCTCAGCTGGACAGTTGGGTGTTCCCTGGGCTCCCGGGGCGCTGGCGGGGCTGCAGCGGCCGCCGTCACCCTGTGCCACCTGGCAGTGGCATCTCCCGGGGGACAAGGTGGGTGGCTGAAGGTCCCTCGCTGGTGGCACATCCCAGGGTGGGTTGGGGTGACCTGGGTGGTGTCCCTTTGTCCCCCCCACCCACCTCTGCCAGGCCTGGACATCGACGGGCTCTACCGGGTCAGCGGCAACTTGGCCACCATCCAGAAACTGCGCTACAAAGAGGGGACAGGGCCTCTGAGGTGCTGCCACCCCACAGATGAGCACCTGGACCTGGACGACGGGCGCTGGGAGGACGTGCACCTGGTGACGGGCGCCCTGAAGCTCTTCTTCAGGGAACTGCCGGAGCCACTGGTGCCCTTCAGCCACTTCGACCAGTTCATCATGGCCATCAGTGAGGGACAGGGATGGGGATGGGATGGGGATGAGATGGGGACAGGGAGGGGATTGCATGGGGACAGGGATGGGGACAGGGATGGAGGTGACACGGGGCCAGGCTGGGGAAGGGACAGGGAGGGATGGGCTGGGGACAAGGGTGGGATGGGGACAGGGATAGGGACAGGGATGGGGACAGGGAGGGGAAGGGACAGGATGGGGACAGGGATGGGGACAGGGATAGGGATGAGATAGGGACAGGGAGGGGAAGGGGATGAGATGGGGACAGGGAGGGGATTGTCTGGGGACAGGGATGGGGTGACATGGGGCCAGGTTGGGGAAGGGACAGGGAGGGATGAGCTGAGGACATGGATGGGGACAGGGATGGGGATGGGATGTCTGAAATGATGAGGACAGGGGTGGGATGGGGAAGACAATGGGGACAAGGATGGGGACAAGGAGAAGGATGGCAGGGGGGGGCATGGGGGGCAGGGATGGGATGGGGATAGGATGGGGAGAAGGATGAAGAAAGGGACAGAAATGACACAGTGTGTGGCATGGCATGGAGATGGGGGTGGGACTGGGGACAAGGATGGGGACAGGGATGGGAATGGGATGGAGAGGGGATGGGGAATAGGATGGGATGGGATGGAGAGGGGTGGGGACTGGGATGGGATGGAGAGGGGTGAGATAGGATGGGGTGCAGACACAGATGGGGACAGGAGCAGGGATGGCATGGGGCCAGGGATGGGAAGGAAGATGGGGATGACGATGGCCATAAGGATTGGGACAGGGATGGGGACAGGGATGAAGGCAGGGATGGGGACAGGGATGGGGACAGGGATGGAGGCAGGGATGGGGGCAGGGATGGGGACAGGGATGAAGGCAGGGATGGGGACAGGGATGGGGACAGGGATGGGGACAGATGCTGCCCGAGCCAGCACCCCCGTGTTGCCCCTGGCAGAGCTGCAGGCCCCGGCCCGGCGGTCCCGCTGCCTCCGTGACCTGGTGTCCTCTCTCCCTCCCGCCCACCACGACACCATGCAGGTTCTCTTCCGCCACCTCTGCAGGTGCCACCCGTCCCACCTCCCCCCCCCCAAAACCCCAACCCGCTGTGCTGGGGACGGGGCGGGTGACACCTCCCCTGTCCCCCAGGGTGGTGCAGTGCCGGGAGCAGAACCGCATGTCGGTGCAGAGCGTCGCCATCGTCTTCGGGCCCACCCTGCTGAGGCCACCCCACGAGGAGGGTAACATGGCCATGCACATGGTCTTCCAGAACCAGGTGGTGGAGCACATCCTCAACCACTACAGCTACATCTTCCCTGATGGATAACACCCCCTCCCTTGGGGGACACCCGTTGGGGACAGAAGCCAACCCTGGGGTCACCAAGCAGCGGCGTCTCAGGGGATGGACTCGGCCACATGTCACCTTGGGCAGTGGGGAGGTGACACTCGTGGGCTCCAGGAAGGGTGCTGAGGTGGCCCAGCCTGCTCAGGATGTGGCTCGAGGGACCCTCCGAGCAGCCCTGTCCCCATCTGCCACCCCCTCCATTTGGGGACAGATCCTCCGAGGCTGAGCCCCCCAGGAGTGTGTGGGGTTTGGGAGGGTCAGGAGGGGGAGGTGGAGCCCTGAAGTCCCCAGCTGGCCCTGGGAAGGGGTGGCAGGGCCCCCCAGTGCCCCCCAGTGCCCCCCAGTGCCCGCGGGGCGGGCAGGGAGGAGCCGGTGTCTGGTTCGGCCCCTCCGTGTTCCCAAATAAAGCGGCACTGCTGGCAGGACACGGGGACAGCCCCGGGGACAGCGGTGACACAGCCCTGGCTCGGTGCTGCTTGGCTCCTGGTGACCCTTGGGGACACGGACAAGGGGATCTCAGCATCCCCAGAGGGGCTGCGGGGCCACCGGGTGTCCCCTGGGCTTTGGGGTGTCACCGAACCCTGTGTCACCACCGGTGTCACTGCGGGGGGACAAGTGTCCCCCAGGACTGGGGAGCAGTGGGACAGGAGCTCCTGTCACCCAGTGTCACCCCTCTGGGGTGGGGACACTTAGGGTCACAGTCTGGGACACAACCAGGACGGTAGGGGACACAAAAGGGACAGTGAGGGACACAAAAGGGACAGTGAGGGACACAAGTGTGACGCCTGAGGACATCATAGGGACACTAAAGGGGATGGCAGGGACACCAGGAGGATTTGGGACGGGGAGGTGGCACTTTGGGACACAACAGGGACAGGTCAGGGGGTTGGGACACAGTGGGGATGGCTGGGACATGAGGGGACACTTTGGGTTGTAGTGGGGACACTTGGGGACACAAGCAGAGCACTTTGGGGTGAGGTGGGTGGGGACAGTTGGGGATGGAACGGGGACACGAGGGGACGGGGGGGTCGTGACAGGGACCCTCTGGGGTACAGTGGGGACATCCTGGGGCTCAAGGGGACACTTTGGGACACGAGGGGATGATGCTTTGTGGGTGCAGTGGTGGCAGTTTGGGACAATTGGGGCACTTTGGGGTGCAGAGGGGACACTGGGGGACACGAGGAGACATGACAGGGACACTTTGGGGTGCAGAGGGGACACTGGGGGACACGAGGGGACATGACAGGGACACTTTGGGGTGCAGTGGGGACACTGGGGGACACGGGGGGACATGACAGGGACACTTTGGGGTGCAGTGGGGACACTGGGGCACAAGGAGATACTTTGGGACACAAGGGGATGCTTTGGGGTGCAGTGGGGGTAGTTTGGGACACGGGGACACAATGGAGGCACTTTGGGGTGCAGCAGGGACACTGGGGGACACTTGGGACACTTTGGGGTGCAGCAGGGACACTGGGGGACACGAGGGGACGACAGGGACACTTTGCGGTGTAGTGGGGACACTTTGGGGCACAAGGGGACACTTTGGGGTGCAGCAGGGACACTGAAGGACTCGAGGGGACACGATGTGGACACTGGGGTGCAGGGGGGTACTTTGGGACACAGGGGGACACAACAGGGACACTTTGGGGTGCAGCAGGGACACTGGGGGACACGAGGAGACATGTTGGGGACACTTTGGGGTGCAGTGGGGACACTTTGGGACCCCAGGAGACACTTTGGGACACGAGGGGATGCTTTGGGGTGCAGTGGGGGTAGTTTGGGACAGAAGGGGACATTTGGGACACTTTGGGGTGCAGAGGGGGTACTTTGGGACACAGGGGGACACAACGAGGGCACTTTGAGGTGCAGCAGGGACACTGGGGAACAGGAGGGGACACTTTGGGGGCACTTTGGGGTGCAGCAGGGACACGGGGGTACACGAGGGGGCATGACAGGGACACTTTGGGGCACAAGGAGATACTTTGGGACACTTTGGGGTGCAATGGGAACACTGGGACACAGAGGGACACAACAGGGACACTTCGGGGTGCGGCAGGGACACTGGGGGGCACTTTGGGGACACTTTGGGGACACTTCGGGGTGCGGTGGGACTCGGGGACGTCACGGGAACAACTCGGGATGCAACGGGGACATTTGGGGACCTGGGGACACGGCGGGGG